GCCTGAGGAGGAGGCCGAGGGCCCGGCGGCGGCCGCCCAGAGCCCCCGCGGACCGCTGGTGCCCGGCCACTCGGGCGTGGTGCTGTACCTGTGCCCCGAGGCGCAGTGCGGGCAGACGTTCGCCAAGAAGCACCAGCTGAAGGTGCACCTGCTGACGCACAGCAGCAGCCAGGGCCAGCGGCCCTTCAAGTGCCCCCTGGGCGGCTGCGGCTGGACCTTCACCACGTCCTACAAGCTCAAGAGGCACCTGCAGTCGCACGACAAGCTGCGGCCCTTCGGCTGCCCCGCCGAGGGCTGTGGCAAGAGCTTCACCACCGTGTACAACCTCAAGGCACACATGAAGGGCCACGAGCAGGAGAACTCGTTCAAGTGCGAGGTGTGCGAGGAGAGCTTCCCCACGCAGGCCAAGCTCAGCACCCACCAGCGCAGTCACTTCGAGCCCGAGAGGCCCTACCAGTGTGCCTTCTCAGGCTGCAAGAAGACCTTCATCACCGTCAGCGCCCTGTTCTCCCACAACCGCGCCCATTTCAGGGAACAGGAACTCTTCGCCTGCTCCTTCCCGGGCTGCAGCAAGCAGTATGACAAGGCTTGCCGCCTCAAGATCCACCTGCGTAGCCACACGGGTGAGAGGCCCTTCCTCTGCGACTTCGACGGCTGCGGCTGGAACTTCACCAGCATGTCCAAGCTCCTGCGGCACAAGAGGAAGCACGAGGACGACCGCAGGTTCACCTGCCCCGTGGAGGGCTGCGGCAAGTCCTTTACCAGGGCCGAGCACCTCAAAGGCCACAGCATCACCCACCTGGGCACGAAGCCCTTCGTGTGCCCCGTGGAAGGCTGCTGTGCTAGGTTCTCTGCCCGGAGCAGCCTCTACATCCACTCCAAGAAGCACCTGCAGGACGTGGACACTTGGAAGAGCCGCTGCCCGGTGTCCACCTGTAACAAACTCTTCACCTCCAAGCACAGCATGAAGACCCACATGGCCAAGAGGCACAACCTGGGCCAGGATCTCTTGGCGCAGCTGGAGGCGGCCAATTCCCTCACGCCCAGCAGCGAACTGACCAGCCAGGGCCACAGTGATCTCAGTGGCCCCGAGATAGTGTCTCTCTTCTCCGACGTGCCTGGCGCTGGCTCTGCCGCCGTGCTGGACACGGCCTTGGTCAATTCGGGAATCCTGACGATCGATGTGGCTTCCGTGAGCTCCACTCTGGCGGGGAGCCTCCCCGCCAGCAGTCCAGATGCCCTGGGGCCTGCTGTGGATGCCCGCGCCCTGAGGCCCGCCAGCGACCTGCCCCAGAGTCTGGACACCTCGCTCTTCTTCGGAACCACGGCCTCTGGCTTTCAGCAGAGCCCCCTGGATCTGGATGATGTCTCCAGTGGCAGCGTGGGGCCCTTGGGCTCCCTCGACTGTCTGGCCATGAAAAACGCAAGCGCAGAGCCCCAGGCTCTGACGCCCAGCAGCAAGTTGACCGTGGACACGGAAGCTCTCACTCCTTCCAGCACCCTCTGTGAAAACAGCGTCTCAGAACTCCTGACTCCAGCCAAAGCCGACTGGCATGTCCATCCTGACTCGGACTTCTTTGCGCAGGAGGAAGACAGCCAGTTTGGCTTCTCCAACCCAACAGGAAACCATGGCTGTCACAAAGAAACAGATCTTATCACAGCGACGGGCAGCTCCTTTTTGGTATGAACCGACTCTGTTCCTTCCCTGCCACGCCACGGGGCTTGCTTTTATTTTGCTCGAATTTGAGGGGCCTCTGGACTGAATGCTTCCGGCCGTGGGATCATTTCTCACTGCTTTGAGAGACAGCCCTTCCCTCCCTGGACTGCAAGTGTGGAGATTTTCATTCTGATCTTGAGTGGAACTGACAAGTTCTGTGACCCTGAGTGAGTCACTTGACTTCTCTGAGCCTTAATGTCCTTATTTATAAGAGGAGGTGGTTTGATTGGGTTGCTCTTTGGTCTTTTCGCCTCTTTATTTTATTGCTTTTATGATCATTGTGTATAAATTTATTGTATTTTATAATGAGTAATCATTGCCTATGCTTCTAATGTAATGAAAAGTGCTTTCATTACTTTGAATATTGAATGAGCAGAGTTAGAGGAATTATACCTTTAAATAATTTGATGAAATTTTTATAGTGCCAACTGTTATATCCATGAATAGAGTACCAATAAGCTCAAAAATGTTTCTTTTTAATCTTTCATCAGGATATCTCTTTTCTGAATTGGGGGGGGGGTCTGTATTGTTGTGAAAAATGCCCAGCTAATGAAGTATTGCCTCTGTGTTTTTAAATATGTGGCCTTAAAGTAATTATGTAGTAAGCCTTAGTTCCCTAGTTTTAAAAACAATTTTACAAATGTAAATTTTCCAATACGTATTGGTGGACTTGCTTTTCTTTCCTCATAATTGGTATTGAAGGGAAACTCTGTTTTGGTGTGCTTTTGTGACCATTATTACTTTTCTTGTGCTTTTAATTCCTTCCTCTAAGGGGAGAAATTCACATTATATGAAGTCATAATTTTGTAGACAGTAAAGTTTTATAAGTGCTAAGAAGAAAGGAAGGGGATTATTCCTTGTTTTCTTTTCATGTAACATTGCCCACATGTCCATGTGATTTGCTTGTGTTCACACTCAAAGTCATCTCTGGCCCTGTGTGTATAGTCTACTGTTCCAAGAAAATCTGGGAATTGACCAGTGGGAAATTTTCTCCCCTCTGCCCTAGAGAGATCACTGCTGGCCTCCTGTGAAATGAGAGACTTTGTTTGCATTTTGCCTAGATTGTATCTTCCCTTACATGAATAATGAATTTTCCAGATTATGTAGAACTTTCACACTTAGCATATCTGATAATCACAATCTTTTAAGGTAGTTATAGCAGAGTCAATACTACTATTGATTTTAAAATTGATATGACAAATGGATTTTTAGTACATATGTGTGTGTTGTATGTGTATGTGGTATGTACATGTGTGTATATATGTATTATATATGTAATATATATATATATATATACCAAAATAAGGAGGATATATTTCTACCTCTCCCATTCTACCCTTGTGAATTTCATGTTCAGTTTGTTTATAATCATTGCTCTATTCCACCTTAATCAATAAATGTTCTTCTGTCTGTTCTGCTTCCTTTCTACCTTGCCTTGTATATGTATATTGCCTTGTATATGTATACCAATCCTTCCCATGCATCTACGTTATTTATTTTTAAATTAGGTCTCTTTTGTATTCAATGTTGGTCAGTTGTTTTGCTCATGGTCCATTTTCAGCCACAGTATTTACTGCAAGTCTCTGTGTGCACTGAGAATTTATTTTCTAGATTCAGATGATGTTTATATATGAATCTGATGTTATTTGTGATATTTTATATAATGTTTTAAGAAGTACTACTTTTCTAAACTTTTTACCATGTAGTTCTGCTATCAAGTACTATTATTAGTTGTTTCGAAACACGCAAATGGAGTACTGTTTACACGTGAATACTTGAGAGCAACAATTATCATGGTACTGTGGCAGTGCACTTTATAATTTACCACTTTTAATTGCATCTGTACTATCTTTATAATTCCTAAATTGGGTATACTTATTCTGCGAAAGAGTAAAAACATTACATAAATTTGTAATTTAAAGAAATAAAATTTTATTGTGTCCTGGCATTGAAGAGCTCTTGTTCAGCACTTTGGAAGGATTTTAAGACTGTTTTAGAAATGCATTTTCATTAGTAAAACAAATTGTATTCTCTTAGATTATTCTGCTTTTCTTATAGAAAAGAATGTGTAAGCCTAAAGTCTATGCACACGGGTCATAGGCATCTATTAAGATATGTAACCATAAAGATATTTAAAAATGCTGTCAGTCTGTTTTTAATCTTTCAGAATACTTTCCTCCCATAAAACAGTCATAAACTTTACTTTTGCTTATAGTTTGTGTAATTTTCAGAGGATACATTTTATTTTCCTTAAAGATAAAAATCTTGTAATTGTCTTTAAGATTTCTCTGTCTATTGGTTCTGTCATAAATTTGTGATTTTTCAAACCATGGGACCTGATTTAGTTTGATCTCATTTGCCTTTTGTGCCTCTTCAGTTTTGATTTATTACTTTCCAATTGAAAACACAATAATAAAATGTGTTGTAGTTTAGTTAGGCTTTTCCTTGATTTCAAATAAAATAATAATTAACACCCCACATGGGAATATTCATAATTATTCAGTAATTATTCATATTAAACAGATCCACTTGGTGATTTTTATGGTACTAAAGATCTAATTTTGATGTAGCTCATTCAAAATGTGTGATAATTGAAATGCAAAACAACCAAATTTTATGTATATATTATTTTTGAAAAATAACTTTGCTTAGCAGTTTTTCTTAAAGCAAATTTTGTGGGTTGCTGTGGTTGTGCATGCCCATAATTCTACCACTCTGGAGGCACTGGAGGGAGAGGCAGTTTGAGGCTAAACTGGATTATAGTCAAGACCTTATTTTAAAAAACCCACAAAATAATACAAATAGGAAAAAACCGCAAAATGTGCACTCTGTGGGTTAGAGAAAGTTGTGTAACATGAAACATTGTATAAAAAGTAAAGCACTATCTAAAAATAAATTTTCAGATATTTTGTAACATCTTTTAAGCTAGGGACCCTATTGTATATTTCAAGTTAATTTACTAATTATGTGTAGAATACAAGGTAGAGAGCACTAGGGATATAGAAAGTGAAAATCTGAACAGTTTATTTTAGAGAAGGCACCAACATTTATGAATTAGCACTTCACAGTTAAACAATGCCATCAAACATCAAACATTTTCAGACATCTAATGAATGCTTTGGAGGAGGGAAGGGGCAAGAGATTTAGATATATAGACAAATTTAAAAGTAGAATTGACTATATAACAGCTTGAAAAAAATCTAACTCAAATGCAAAGCATAGTGTTAGGGTTAGACTGTAGAACTATGAAGATAGATCATAGTAGATAATACCTCATTTTAGACACAGTTAATCATCAATGGAGATATTTGAGAAGGGAAATAAAATATGAATATATATGAAGATTAATATAGGGCTTCTTACCTATTGTTGTCTGTTACTAGCTGACATTGGAGGTTAATGATGGCATGAGAACTCAGTTACAGGTATGATATCCTGTGTTTTCTACATAAACAAGCATAGTTCCTTCCCTTAATTGTTATAATAGCTACTGATGGTGATATCTCAAAGAGAACAGACACCCAAAACCAGAAAATTAGCAGAATAGTCACTTAGTGATTACATTTTGTTTAATAATGAATTTTCTGTCCTGCACTGTAGACAGACAACAATTCCTCTCATTCTGTTTTTTGCTGACATTCATGGACATATGATGCTGCCTACAGATTTTTTTGTTTTTGTTTTTAGTGTTGGTCCTGGGGCTTCACTTGAGCACCTGGGCACTGACCCTGAGCTTTTTTGCTCAAGGCTAGCAAACTATCACTAGAGTCACAAATATACTTCTGGCTTTTTGGTGGTTAATTGGAGATAAGAGTCTTCCTGCCTGGGCTGGTTTTGTACTGTGATCCTCAGATCCTAGCCTCTTTAGTAGCTAGGATTATAGGCATGATCCACCAACCCCAGGCTACAGAAAATACTTTAATTTAATATTTTAAAGTGGACAATGATTCTTAGGAGTGCCAATAGTTTGGAATAGTTTAGAAGTACCTCTGTCATTGTCAGCTTATTAAGAAGCTGGCAGTTCCTGGGATCCCTTTCTGTGTGAGGCACTATAAGTCATAACACAAAGTATATAGCATTAATTCACTCAAAAATTTTGAGCACAGGGGCTGGGAAGGTGGCTCAGTGGTAGAGCACTTGCCTTGCATGCTCGAGGCCCTGGGTTTGATTCCTCAGCACCACATAAGCAAAAAGAAAAAAGCCGGAAGTGGCGCTGTGGTTCAAGTGGTAGAGTGCTAGCCTTGAGCTGAAGAGCTGAGGGACAGCGCCCAGGCCCAGGGTTCAGGCCCCATGACTGGACCCCCCAAAAAAATTTTTTTTGAGCACATATGTGATGATTTCTGCCTTTACATACATTATGATCTAGGCAAAAATCAACAAGCAATGGAAAATAATTTATAGTAAGTTCTAAATACATGTTAAAGTTAAACAGATCTAATTAGAATAGCAATTGTCATTCTCATAGTATGAACTAAAAATTACAATGAGAAAAAATCCAATGCATAGATCATGAAATGCTATTTCAAAATGTTATGAGTTTAACATTCCCAGAAAAGGCTTTTAAGCCAAGATATAAAAATTAGGACAAACTGTCCTAAATTATAGTTTATACAGAATTGTGAGTGCTAATTTTAATTATAGCAAAAATAATTTGGGAAATAAGCTGTAAATTCTGCTTTATTTTAACTTATTTTAGATTCAAATATTACATGTTGCATGTGGAAGTGATTTTAATCATATGATATATTTATATGTTGTTTTCAAGTAGGAAAATCATAGCATGAATAAATAATATTAAGCCTGCCTTTTTCTAAATCTAGTTTACTTTTTCTCAGATGCAAAAGCAACTTTTATTTTTCTGAAACACATAACCAAATGTTTTCATTAGAAATTAAATCATTTCATGTAAGAATACAAGATGAAGTATATCTAAACTTCATGTGGTATTTGGAACTGAGAACTGGAGATTA